GATTATAAAAAATAATATTACAAATGATAAAATAGAATCGGAAGTGTCAAAGTAGTAATAAGAGGACGACTTCGCTCGTTGCTCCTCCGCGACTACTTCCGCTTTAATAACGTCTCGCGCAGCCGAAAGACAAATTACTATGGCGCTCGCGTTTTCCGGAAAGTACCTAAGAGCATCTTTCCTGTGTCGAGCGAGAGCTGAGGTTCCATTCGGCGACGTAGATTAGCGAGGATGTTGCAGCCAGTCGAGTAAGGTTTGCCCAACTCTCCTCCCTCCCGCCTCTCCACCCCGGGTATTATACTTGCAGCCGCGGTAAGAAGTTGCGAATCAACATCTCGTTATCCGGAATTCGAAAACTTTCGCGTCGGCAGCCAACCGACCACCCATCTTCTCCCTCTCCCTTCCCTCCCCTTCCCTGCCTACTCTCTCTTCTCGCGCACTCTCGACGAGAGGCTGATTGTTGCGCGACCTTTTGTATAATTTCCGTCTATCTCTCGAGAAGATTGGAGCCTCCTTCAGGGTCGCGACAAAAGTAAGTAGACGAAGTTGCGAGATTCAATTGATGAAACAGCGGATTGTGTCGTACTAAGGAGCATACAACAGAGAGAAAGAGAGAGAGAGAGAGAGAGATAAAGATATTTGATAACATCGATAACGAGGCACATCGCGAATCTCTCCCTTTCAACCCTTTACTCTCTCTCCGCTTTTCGAGAGGCAACGACTTCGGCTACGTGGACTTCCGGCGAAGGGAGCGGCGACGCGACTACTGAATGAAGACGTAGTCAAAGCCGAGGAAGCACCTCGTTTCCGCGGCCAAGAATGCCTTATCGGGACGTCTGGGAAAATTTGATCTAATTGTAAGAAAAGTGGCTAATAACGAAAGTCCGGACTAAAATAATCCGCGAGAATATCTCGGATAATTCGGGTGAATATCTCGGCTGGTTTATTTTAGAAAACGCCCTTTAATCGCGTTTCTCCTCTGGGAGAGGAGAGGGGCAGAAACCTTGAGGAACATTAATTAATCAATGATCGCGCGAGGACGTTGTAATTCGGACCCGGCTGACTTAACACGGGCGATACCCCTCGTCATCCGCAAGACACGCCACTAAATCTCGCTCTCCGCGCGATTAATTTTACAGCGCGGTGTCATCAAGGGAGTCGAAAACTTCGCGGAGACGACTCCTCGTCTTCTCGTATCCTATTTCGAGGGGGATCTGGACTGGCGCAGTTTCATCCCTCATCCCTCTCAACCCACCCCTCTTTCACTCTCTTCTACCTCCTCGTCTCTTAATACGCGAGCGGTGTACAATTTCGAAACTTAAAGGACGAAGTCAAGGAGGGCTCCAAGAGCGAATTTGCCTAAGTTCTCCGACTTCGCTTCCTCGCTCGTCCCTCGAATTATTTCGAGCTTCTATCCGCCGGTAAAAGTAATTTTGTTCCCGAACAGAGAGAGAGAGAGAGAGAGAGAGAGAGAG